ATGCTGATAATGATGTAGATGTAGATGTTGATGTTTGATGATGATGTTGATGTTGTGATGATGATGATGGGGGTGGTGGTGATGATGATGATGATGATGTGATGACGACGACGATGATGATGATGATGATGGCATGATAATGATAAGAGTGATAATAATGGTGTTGACTATGATAATGATAATCCTAATCTGTCTATCTTCGCCTGCTTATCCTTACCTACCCTTTTTTGTACTATATTGGTTCACTTCTTTCTTACCATCCTTCACAAAGCTACTCTTGTATTTTTCCATCAAATCTGTAAAATGTTTTGTCATTCAATATCAATACTACCACTAATGATAATGATAACAATTACAATGAAAACTATTACTATTACAACATCCCAAGGCCTTTCGCAAGCATATAGTGATGTGAAGTGTTTTCCCATTTATCACAACCGCTAATGATTACATTTAATGCTATTATCATTACAACACCCCAATGCCCTGACATAACAAGTTAGCTTCCTGTGAAGACCAGTTTATTCCATGCGTCCTTTGACTCTCTTTGGCACCTGTCCTAAAAATGGTGCCTCGGAGATGACACTACTTTTAAACTTGGTCCATTGTGGTGTAAGAGACAAGTAAGGCATTTAACGATGGAGCTGGGAATGGAACTCTTTCTATCTATTTCTCACTTTGTATATCTGTCTATCTATCTATTTGTGTCTGAAGAAGGGGCTGTCTCTCTCCCAATTTCACTGTTATTATCAAGACCATCGGTGATATGTGATCATCATCATCGTCATCATTTTCCCTGGTGATGTTGTTTTTGTTAGTCTCATTATCATTAATAGTCGAAGCAGTAGTGGTATTAGTACTACTATAATTATTATGATTATCATTATCATAGTTTTCATCATTACTATGATTATGATTATTATGGTTGCTATAGTCATTATTGTCATTATTACTATCATTTATTGTTATTGTTGTTATTATTATCATTGTCATTTTCATTGTCATCTTTAGTAGAAATATTAATATAAGCATCATTCTTAAATAGTAGAGGTGATGTCGGTAGTAGTAGCAGTAGTAGTAACAACAGCAGTAGTAGTTGTAGTGATAGTATCAGTAGTAGTAATGGTAGTAGTAGTAACAACAATAGTAATAATGGTAGTAGTAGTAGTAATTGTAGTAGAAGTAGTAGTAATGACAGTAGTAGTAGTAGTAGTAGTAATCCTAGTAATATTAGTATTAGTAGTAGTAATGGTGATAGTAGTAGTAGTAATAGTAAAGATAGTAGTAGTAGTAGTAATGGCTATAGTAGTAGTATGGTAGTAGTTGAAGTAATGGCAGTAGTAGTCGTGTGTTGTCTTCCTCGCAAGGAATTCGAGAGGTTCTTGTAGCTGGACGAGCTTGCCATGAGGTAAAACTCCATTTTCCCTCTTTTTTACCCTAACGAGAGAAGAAAAATTGGAAAATCGAGACGCTGTATTTTTTTTTTTTTTTTTTTCTGGGGAGGAAAGGGTTAGGCAGACAGGCAGGCACTGAGCGGGGAGGGAAACAAAGCACGACTGAGGAATGCTTTCAGAGCGTGCTTGCAAGGCGAGGGATCTGCTCTTGAAGTCTTGTAAAATTCTCTCTTTCTATAATTATCTGTCTGTCTATCGATCTGTCAATTTGTCCGTCTGCCTGTATTCTGTTTATATATATATATATATATATTAGTCTATTTTTGTCTCTGTCTTTATTTCCATTTTCTTTTTCTCTCGTTTTTTCTCTCACTATCTCACAATCTTTGCATGAAGTCACCGAATCTCTGACTCTCTATCTTTCTATTTTTTCTCTCTTTTTCCTCTTTTCTCTCTCTATTCATACGCGTTTTTCCTTTGTTTTCTGTAAGTTGCAAAAACTAAAGGAAACAACCCAACTACTTACCTCTGAAGCATTATTTCCTTACAAAATCACCAAGAGACTCATTGTGAAATTATGCAGCTGCACAATCAGCCTCTCAATTGATCTTTCATCTGTACCCAACTGTACCTACATAATGAACCAGAAGTTAAACAGACAAACTACCTCTGATCTTGTTTCCCTGTCTTCTGATGCGTGGAGACCAAGAAAACCACAAATTATGCAGATAAGGCACTGCCTCAAATAAGTACGCTCAGTCTTTATCTTTATAATTTTTAACATTAAGAGTTTAAGAGTTTAAGCCAAATTGATAAGAGGAACTAACGTGTATTTTCATTATATACATCTCTCTGTATACCCTGTGAATCATATATCTAACGTCTTGTTTACTAGAAACACATCCTACTCATGAATTCAGTAATAGATTTTCATAATTTAATTTGGACAACTAAATAATTGAAGAGCAAATATACAAATAGATATTCAATCAATGAAAACAGAAAAGAGGAAAAATCCTAAAATCAACACAACAGCTGGAAATAGAGCATAATTCCATAAATTAGTTACTGGATCTTACAGAAAAAAGAAAACATGAAGTGAGATATTTTATTTTATTTTATTCTGACCTTCATAAATACGTTCATATGAAAATAAATAAGGTATCACAGCATATAAGTACACACACAAACACACATAAACTACACATACAAGGGATTATAAATACCAATGTAGTAAACACAATCAATCAGCAATAAATAAATGTGTAATAAAATCTAAAACTATTCAGTGTATTAGAACATACGTAATGAGCAAATTTTCTATACTACTGTTCGATGACTGATGTCTGCTTTCTCGCAGAAGGATTAGGGGTTACGACATAGGGCGAGCTGCTTCTGGGAAAACAGAATTCCAAAGGACCCAATAAATTAAACAGAGACGCAGACGGAAGTCAGGAGAAAGCTGAGAATCTTGAGAAAAGGAGATGATAGGAGGCCGGACGAAGGCGCTGCCGGGGGGAAGCTACGACGTGGCGATTGACGGGATGTAGGTCTCGCATCCCAAGGGCGAGAGAGCGAAGCCTGGGATGAGCGGCATGTCCGGCCGCGGCCCCACGGCGCCGTCCTGCGCCACTGCCAGAGGGTAACTGCGGGAGAGGGGGCGGTGAGGGTCAGGGAGGAGAGGCGGGAGGGGAAACAAATGGAACAAATGCAGCAGACGCATAACATCAGGAGAAATTTCATTGAAACTAATGTCGACCTGCTTACCTGAGGAAGCGACTGCGATGCCCCTTGACGTCCCCCTTGGCGAAGCTCTGGAGCGCGGCGTCGGCTAGCTGCCTGATCCTTCTGACGGCGCGCAGGGAGCCCGGGTCGCCGAGGGCCTCCTCCTCCTCCGAGAGCCCCCAGGTGTGCTCGGCCCACAACGCCTTTCGGAACGCCCGAACCGCGCCGTCCTGGACCGCGACCTCACCGCCGCGTCCATCCTGCCTCGTCTGGCACGCCGCCACGGCCACCTCGGTGTCCCTCCGGCCGTCCAGCGAGCGCTCGTTCAGGTTCGCCGAGCCCACCAGCACGTGGGCGTCGTCGGCCACCGCCATCTTGGAGTGCACGTAGATCAGGAAGCTGCGTTGCTCGCGCCACCGCTGCCCGGCGCCGTCCAGCTCAGCCGCCGCCACGTTCGCGGACCGCGGTGAGCGCGGCTCTTGCTGTGGAGGAGGAGCAATGAGGCGCCAAGTTCTTCCATAGGGACAGGAGGTAATGGTGGAGGTGGTGATAGTGATGATGATAACGATAACGATATGATAACAATCTTATGAACTTTTCCGCACCAAAAGGAAGGTCTGTGGAGACTAACCTTGGCGAGGCAGAGGGGGACCAGGTAGTCCGTCGGGTGAGCCTTGGAGCCGACGGCGACGAGGGCCTCTGCAATCCGCTTGTACATCATCTGCAACAGCAAATGGAGGTCAATCCAATGCACTCCGACTCTTAAACAACACAGATGAAGATATAAAGACCTATCTCATCACGTCGATGAATACGAATAGAGGCAACAAAAACCGACCTGGAGCGTTCTGAACTGCCACCGAAGGATCGCGTTCATGCTTCCCTTGTGAATCCTATTCTCAGGGTTTCCTTCGGGGAGCATCGGCAGCACGAGGTATACCCTGAATCCTTTCCCTTGCCTGATCTTGCTCACCTGAAGAGGTAGGATAGGAGAGGATGGCGCCATTAGAGAAAGTGTCTCGGCGAGAGAAGGGAAAACATAAGTTGCAGATTTTGGGATTAGGTGAAAACATCGTAGGCCATTTCTTGAAGCTAATTCATGATTCACAAGCACAATGATGCAAAGGAAGGGAGACTCACCACGCGTTGCACAATCTCCAGTGGTATCAGGTTCAAGGCATTCACATCTTGGTCCTCTTCCCAGGCTTGTGAAGACCCGATGAAGTACTGTTGGGGATCCAATCTTTAGTTTTGGTTTATGATGTTGCCCTTATATCATTCACCCTACATTAGGCGTGGCGAGCATGGTTTTCATGTCATAGAATTTATATACATAAGCCTATAGATTTTTTTTTAGTCTCTCTCTCTCTATCTATCTATCTCTATCTCTATCTCTATCTCTATCTCTATCTCTCTCTCTCTCTCTCTCTCTCTCTCTCTCTCTCTCTCTCTCTCTCTCTCATTATAACTGTCACTCTATAGATTTTATATCTCTCTCTCTCTCTCTCTCTCTCTCTCTCTCTCTCTCTCTCTCTCTCTCTCTCTCTCTCTCTCTCTCTCTCTCTCTCTCTCTCTCTCTCACTATGACTGTCACTCCCACATGGCACTGGCACTGTACCTGGCTCTCGATGTATAGAAAATTCTCGGCCCTTCGGATGAGCCTCACGATGGCCCTGTGAAGGCTGGTGTCCACTGTGCGTCCATCATACGAGTCCAGCACGCCGGAACGACCACTGCTAAAGGTTGTCGAGTTGGCATCGATGGATCTTACCACCTAGATGTAAATTGACAGAGAAATTAGACCAACCCTTGCATGCAGAGATAAGCACGAATGGACAAAAATCACAGACAAAAGAGACATTTATGAATGAACATAGATTATATCATAGCAAATTTATTTTTACTGTTTCTGAACTGACACTGTTCTTCTTCGCATGGTTTTCCCTAAACAAACGTAAGGTCCGTTCCTCTCACCTGCATCTGCCAAGTGCCTTCTTGGTCGCTCTCGCTCACTGGCGTGACTGCTGGTCGTAGCGCCGGCAGCAGGAGGTGGGCCTCGTCCGGGACCTGCCTCCTCCATCGCTCCTCGAAGCTCCTGAGGAGGTCGAGGGTGACGGGACCTGTGACGCGGGCGTGGACGTCATGCCAGGGTTCACGGGGGCCTTCTTGGGCGGAGACATCAACGAAACCGTTGTGGAAGTCCCCCTTGTGCTCCGCATTAAGCGTGGAGAACAGCGGATGTTCTGGCGTGTCCCAACGGCCGTTGGTCATGTCCAGGCCGCCCAGGTACGCCACGAGGCCGTCCTCCTCGTCTGCTACCACTACTTTCTGGTGGTGCGTCCATAGCGCCTCCACGAGCTCCTCCCTCACTGCGTGCACGGAGCTCTTCTGTCGCCGCACCATCGCCACGCGCACGCCGGAGCCCTCGAAGTAGCTCTCGGTGGCCTTGTCGTGCGTGCCCAACAGCCCCGCGCAAAGGACGCTCGAGAATTTCTCGTCCCAGATCAGCAAGAGGACCCGGACGCCCTCAGCCGCTTTACGCTTCAGGAGCTCCCCTAGAGTTTCCTCCCTGTCTCGCTCCAGTTTCATCCCAGTCCAGACGCTCCAGCCTGTGATGTAGATGAACTTCTTGGCTTGCCTGATGGTCTTGGCGATGGCTTGAAAGGCGCCCTCCGCCTCCTCCGTCAGGCCAGGCAGGGGCGTGGCATGGCCGTCCTGGTAGAGCGCTAGGGAGCCGCCCTTCCTCATCGGGAAGTAGGTTCTAGGCACTTCCATTCCCATCTCCGCCGCGAGCGCCGCTGGGGTGAACCTCAGCTTCATGTGGATCCTTCCCTTCCCGCCCTCCAGGAACACCGGGCCATCCTTGGTCCACGCCCTGGATGGGTCGCCCAGCCGCAGCTTCCCACGCCCCACGACGTCAGACCACAAATAATCTTTGTCCCACACAGTGATGTCGAGGTGGTCAGCCACGTGGCACACCGGAAGGGACACGTGTTCGCCCCACCGCGTCTTGATCACATTGTTGCGAACGCTGGTCACAAGGATGCTCTGCCCGGCCAGCTTCACCTCCACATAGCAGTCCGTGGTGTCTCCCCCGACCACGTTGAACAGAGCCCTGTCGGCGTCGGAGAGGTTCGATGCCCCGACGACCTCAACTTCCAGATCCCCGTGAAGAAGACTCATGTGTGTGACGCGAGAGAGAACCTTCTGCCTTGTCTATCTGCTCTACTTCCTTCCTTCAAAACCTTCTGTATTAAGGAACCTTTGACGATGTTGTCTCTTAGTACCTCCTGTCTCGACTTCGTTTGGGTTCAACTGCGTGTCTTTTAGCTGCCTTACAAGTTTAAAGCCGCCCCGACCGGAAACGAATCCCGTTGCCCTTGCTAGACAAGGTAAAGCGCACTAACGTCGTTTCTTTGCTGATGTCAAGCCAGCCACGTGGAGTCGCAACCCCTATACAAATCGCGTCCATATAGGCCTACACAAACCCGAACAGCACCAATGATGCTCCGCCCCGACGTCTGCATAAACAAACCTCTGGACAGACTTGGCAGTACTGAGTTGCTAGGAAATCCCGAGGGAAGTCCAAGGTCCCTGCTCGCGTGTTTCGTTGAGGGTCCTCCCCGTTGCTCCACGCGACGTCAGGGGCGCCAGTGACGTCGGAAGGAAGGAAAACCACACGGAATAAGGATGTGCTGACGCGCGCCTCGCTACCTGGGATAGTTGCAATTGCAGGTTACATAAAAGGAGGAGAGAGAGAAAGAAAGAGAGAGGGGGAAGGAGAAAGAGACAGGTATCTATGTATGAAGCAAATATGATAAGTGATATTTTCTTTAAAAGTCGGAGAAACGAAGAAACAAGATGCTTAAGTTTAATAAAGAGAAACAGATAAATGAAAAGAGCGGCTTGGGGAGAGAGAAAGAGAGAGAGAGAGACAGAAAAAGAGACAGAGAGATTAAGAGAGGGAGAGAGAGATAGAGATAGAGAGAATGACAGAGAAAGAGAAGGGGGAGAGAGAGAGAAGGGCAAAGAAAGAGAGAGAGAGAAGAGAGAAGTGGGGTGGGGATGGGAGTAGAGAGTAAGGGGGAGGAGAGAGGGAGAGAAAGAAAAAAAATAGAGAGAGAGTGGGCATAGAAAAGGAAAGAAAGAGAGAGAGAGAGAGAGAGAGAGACTTTGTGGGTGCGGATGTGTTTGTTTGTATATGAGTTTACGTGTGTCTGAGCACGAGCGTATACGTAAGCACATCGACGTCGATGTATTTATCTCCATTCATGATAACTACTATACACAAAGCAGTGTATTTGTATTTATATCCATTTCTTCATAGTAAATCATATGCAAACATTTTCAATCACACAAAAGAAGGAGACAGACATAATAA